GGTTTTTTTGTGTGTGCGTGTGAATTTATTTGTTTATTTTTAGCTCCCACCAATAAGTGAGAACATGTGCTATTTATCTTTCTGTGCCTGACTTTTTTCTCTTAATGTAATTCTCTCAAGGTCCATCCATGTTGTTGCAAATGGCAGTATTTCATTCGTTTTTATAGCTGAGTAGTATTCCATTGTGTAGATATACCACAATTTCCGTATCCACTCATCCAATGATGGACATTTTGGCTGGTTCCAACTCTTGGTTATTGTAAAGAGTGCTGCGATGAACATTGGGGAACAGGTATACCTTCGACTTGATGTTTTCCACTGCTCTGGGTATATTCCCAACAGTGGGATAGCTGGTTCATATAGCAGATATATCTGCAATTGTTTGAGGAACCTCCATACCATTTTCCATAGAGGCTGCACCATTTTGCAGTCCCACCAACAATGTATGGGAGTTCCTTTTTCTCTACAACCTCGCCAAAGTCCAAATTGAGGTAGTAGGCAGTGCATTTATTGTTCAGAGTCTTTTGGATTTTAGCCATCCTAACTGGGGTGAAGTGACCTACATGCTTCTTTGTATGCATCTCATCTCCTGCATTCCCCCCGCAGAAATCATCATTCTGGAGTTTCTGTTTATTATTCACTTGATTGTATAAAATAGCTTTTACCATATAGGTAAAAATCCTTAAAATTATACTTTTAATTTGGCTTTTGGGCTTTTAAGAAATAGGGTCAATCCTCTATATGCAGTCTCTGTGACTTACCTTTTTTTATTCAATGCTCTGTTTGTGAAATCCATCTACATCGTCACCAGTTAGCTGTACTTCCATCATTTCTCCTGTGGGGCTCCATCTGTTTAAATAGGCCACGATTTATTTGTATATGCTCCTATGAAGGAGCATTTAGGTTGTTTCCAGTTTTTGCTGTTCCAAACAATGCTGCTGTAAACATTCTTGAACTTGTCACCAGGCCTACAAGTGCAAGATTTTCTCTAGGGTATTGCAGGGCGATAGAGCGAGTGGATTCTATGAGATGGTATCAGATTGTTTTCCACAGGGCTAGTGCCATTTCACCCCCTTCAGCCATGTTCTGCAGTCCTTGTTTTTCCACATCTTCCACGACAGTAGGTATTGTCACGCTTCTTAGTACTTGCTAAGTTAGTGGGTGTAAAATGGTACCTGATTTGGTTTCAATTTGTACTTATACTTTATTATTATTCTTGTTATAAATCATATGGCTTCCATTTACCTCAGTTTAACCATCGTGTTTGTCAGGTATTTCTATTTATCATTCCTGCTTATATTTCTGACCTTTCTACTGGGATAATTTTTCTTCTTCTTGAATTATATCTTTTAGAAGTTCATTTAGTTAAATACCATTGGTTGTAAATTCTCTCATTGTTTGCTTCTCTGAAGATGTCTTTCTTTAGCCCTTGTTCTTGGAAAAAATACATTTCCTGGGACAAAATTCTACTTTAACAATATATTAACCAGTCTGAACATATTATTCTATTGTCTGGGTTTCCCTTGTTGTTGTGAAGTCTATTGACAGCCAACTTGTGATTTTGCAGGTGATACTTTCTCTCTGACTATTTTTACTACTTCTCTCGGTCTTTGGTATTTTGTAGTATCACATAAAGATGTTATTTGGCCCAGCACACAC